AATATCGTTTGTTCCTGCTAATATATATATATATTTGTAATTATTATTTTGTAATACAAATAAGACAATTGATTGAAACGTTAAGAAAAATAAAGAAAAGAGAAAAAAAAAAGGGAAAAAAGGAAATTGGTTGGGCCATGATGGTAAATAAGGTAAGGAAAAGTAGAAAAGGGGCAGCCCCACCAGCCCGACATGTTGAAAATGGCAGCCTTATCTTCCCCACGTGCAATTCTTATCTTCCCAACTCCCACCACTCTTTCTTTAATCATTGTATTTTACTATTCCACCCCCCACCCACCTCTCAAATGGTTCTCCTTTGCTAACACATTGTAAAAATACAGTTTGGGTACCTCAAGTTTGCATTAATTTCACATTTGAGCTCCTATATTCGCACATTTGGTCCCTTAAATTTAAAAAATTTAACACATTTAGTCATTTCCGTTAGTAATGATGGAATCAAGCGTTTGCCCATCACTCCCTTAACTTACGGAGTAAACTGTAAGTTGATGAAAATGATCAAAAATGTTAAATTATTGAAACATAAATGACCAAATATGTTATTTTTGAACATGGAGAACCAAATGCGAAATCACTGCAAACTTGAATGATGAAAACTGTAAATTTCTCCACTAATAAATTGAGACATATTTAATTAATTAAACGAAAAACTATCTTATTTTAATTTCAATCAATTGAAATGGGGTTGACAACAATTTTATAAAAAAAATTTAGTAATGGAAACCTGCAGCCAAATGATATAGGTGTATTTGGGTAAATTTACATTCTCGAATATTAACTTGCAAATTATACGAGAGACGTAAACAACATTATGTCTAACATGTTCAACCTATTGACCGTTGTCAAAAGAATTCGAACTTAGATCAATTGATACAAATTCACTTGCTCTAACCGTTAGATCATCTCTTATATAACCGTTAAACAAATTTTTAATAAGTTGAACGTGGTTCAGAGTTCAAATACTTTGGTATATATTAATAAGTACAGGTCACGCACAACTTCAAATTCTCATAAATATATATTTTTTTTTCTAAATATGGCTTGTTTTACCCAAAGTCAATTGAATATTCTAACTATTGATATCGAAAGTCAACTTGTTTTTAATCATATATACTTGCATGCATATATTACTGAGAAAAGTTCAATAGTTGGAAATTTTCAAGTTACTTATAATGTGTATGTTATTTAAGTTTAATTTCACATATATACATTTTTATTAGCTGGATAAGATATTTTTGGCAATAATTTAATTACAGTTGGACAAACATCATTTGGACAGCAATGAAATTTAGAGTTACTTGATTGATGTAAGATTTAAGATCAAATTAAACTGATCGATTGTAATAGAGAAAATCTTCTACAAAGTGATTCTTGTCTAGTATATGGGAGCAGTAGAAAATACTAATTTATATTTATTATTATTATTATTATTTCTTTTTTGGTCTGTCGTGTCAATTTGTTCAATTTTGAAATGAACTAAAAGA